GTCAAAAATCAAATAGCTCTATATATGTCAAATACTGGTACATCTACATCAGGTATTAATACTTTAGCAAACTTGGGTATCACATCCACCTATAAAATGGCTTCAAGAAAAAAAAGTGAAATTCTTTTAAATCATGAAGATGGGGTTTTTAAATATCTTAATACAAAAATTAATTCATTAATTATATTCCTTACTGGTGATTATCATGACATCCATCAATCCTGAAATCCAATTGATGAAAATCTATCAAATGTTGCTCATATGGCAACTACCATGATCTATACTCCAAATATATTATCTTTGCCATATATATCACCATTAGATGAGCAGGTGCATAATCCCATGAATGTTGATGTTGATTTAGTTTCCTGGGCATTGAAATTTGAATATATGTCAAAGTTGGGAATCAGTTATATTTACCAAAAGTCATTATGGTTCTGTATAGCTGATTCTTCAAAATTTACAGAAGAAGAAACAATTAATTTTTTAACAGCTCATAGTTATGATCCCGATTTCCAAATCACTCATCCAGAACACAAAAAATTAAAGTTATTAAAATTATTTGATTTTATTCTTCAGGAATTAAAATATTTGGATAATTACCTTCAAGCAATCTACCCTTTTATCGATTCACCAGTACTCAGTGATTATCTATCAGAAAATATACAGTAATACCCGTACCAGCAGATTATCCTGGACAATATTATCTTTGTAAAGCAATTACTCTTCAAAGGAGATATGGTAATTCATCAAATATTCCAGAAAAGATTTTGCATTTGGTTCTTTTATTAGGTCCTTTGCATGTCTCTCTGAATACAAGAGAAACCACTATAAAAATGTATCATCAATTTTTTAATATTTTTTGTAAAGAAGTTTTTAAAAAAAGAAAAAATCTTCCAAAGAATAGTGGTTGTATCTGCTGAATGATATTCACCAATTATTCACCAATTATCCGGTTAATTGGGCATTGAAAATTTTTCATTGATTAATTAATCAGGTGTTGAAAATTTTCACCAAATAATTGGTGAATAATCGGTGGTACAGAATGTAAAACAAAATATTTTAATAATTGTGGTATATATATAGTTATCCACAAAATATCTGCAAATTTCGTGAAAACTCAGAATATCCAATTTTTATTAGTGGGTTGGGTGTGTGTTATCCTTATTTAGAAATCAATTTGGTGATTGCGGATATTTTTTGTGGATAACTACATGATAATAAAATTTTATCCACATAATGTAAATAATATTTTATCACTATTACATTCTTTAATGACAGCCAAACAAACAAAATTGAACCCATTATTATTTGAAAGAATTGTTCAAATTGACTAAATTAATCAAATAAAAATATGAAAAAAAAAATGAATTGCAATGTTTCACATGTTTTTTTTAAAAATCCAATAAAAAAAGCTCACTTGTGCATGATTGATTCAATTAAAAAACTTGTTTGTTTTTTAAACCAAAATAAAATTGTGTTTAATTGAAGGATTTTGTTATTAGATTTTTTTACCTAAAAATAAGTGAACTGATGATATTTTTATAATATTCCGACATAAGGTGGGTTATTTACCTTGTTTCAATGCCAATAAGAGAAAAACAAAGATTTATAAAACATATTCTTGAATGTAAAATTTGTTCAAACAACTCAAAAATCGTTTTGTTAATAAGCATAAAGAAAAATTTTCTTTGTAATAATAGTCAGTAATAATAAAATTATTTTCCTTCTAAACACTTCTGCTTTTTGTTGGATAATGGCACATATTCATTCTGCTTTCATTTATTCTTTTTGGTAAATTTCATAAGTAATCTTTCTTTTCTTAGATAAGTTTCCAGTTTCTGAGCATCATTTATTTTGAAAACATAAGGAGCGATTTTTTCACCTTGTTCCCTTTTCAAAATATTTCTAATGGTGCAATAATTTTTGGGATCCATGGTAGACCAATGGAAATGAGGTTCATATTAACTATTTTTGTCTGGAGATATATCCTATATAAGCATATTGTAATTTCAAGTTACATTTTGGAATGATATAAATTTAAAAATGCATAAATTTGTGCGTCAAAATGTCATTAATCAAATCAGCTAATCTTCAGCCACACCAGCCTCTTATTTATGTCACATGATAAATGTTCATTTTGGTGTTTTTTAATGCGCGCCAACCAAATTTGGAAACCAGCTTAGTTGCAGATATCACTAACCAAATTAACTAAATTAGACCATTTTATATCGAGGCACAGTCGAATTTCATACACCGATATAGGTAAACTATGTTATTATTATACTAAAATTTGAACCCTGTAATTCTTTTGTGTCTTCATGTTCACTGTCTGGTTTTGTTGTTATATAGCATTACCCCAATAATATAAATCCAAAAATTCACCTCCTAACAACTCCCTCTCCTCCTATCAGAACAAAAATAATAAATTTCAAAAAAAAAAAAAAGCATACGTAATATTATTTTGATTGTTGAAGAATATAAAAAAAGTGGTCGTCGTCAGTTTCCTCCAATTAACAAATTTTAATTTGCTCTAAAAGCTCATTTTGATTGAAGTGTTTAAAATCTAATATATATATTCGAATTATTAATTAATAAAACCGCTGACTAAGCTATTTTTCCGTAAAACTCAATACACATATATAAATATAATGGAGGATAACACAACAAACATGCTTCGTTGTATTAAAGGTTGCGGTTTTTATGGGTAAGCAGTTTTTTTTACTCCAATCAATGAAAATAAAAATTATTATTTATTAAAAAAAATACATCAGCAAGTGTTATTTTCAAGCATGTAAATAATTCCAATCATTCAATATATTATTTCCCATTTTGGCTTTAACAGCAATCCGACTTTTAACAACATGTGCTCTCAATGTTTCAAAGAAACTAGTAACAAAAATGGTCAAAATGGTATGTGACTAGAAAGTGTTATCATTTATGTATATTTTATATGCATTTTTTTTCTGACTCATTATTTACCTTAAAAAGCCAATAATATTACTTCTACAACTTCAACAAATCAAATAAATTTACCACTTACAACAACTAAATTTGAAGGTTCTTCAGTTCAAACAAACACTACCGCAACAGCTGAACAAGTCACTCCTCTCACTACAACCACAATTACTGCTAATAGCGGAGAATCTGTTGCTGAAGTTATCACTACCACCACAACCACAACAACAACAACCACCACCACCACAACCGCTGGCACAAGTTTACAATCTTCTACTGCTATTATATCATCTAGCCCTGACGCACGCCCAATTCAAAAAAACAAGGCTAGTTGTTTCGTGTGCCGTACTAAAATTCCTTTAGCTAAACAAACTATTAATAAGTGCCGCTGTGGTAATTATTCATAATTTTATCTTTTATTATTTCAAGTATAAAAATACATTACGAGCTAATGATATTTTAAAAAATAAATAATAATAGAATACGTCTATTGCGACACCCACAAAGTTCCAAATAAACACGATTGTGACTTTGATTTTGCTAAAATGGGTAAAGATATTTTGGCAAAAAATAACCCAAAATTAAATGACGTACACAAGGGAGGACGCTCGTTCAATAGAATCGATTAAATTGGTGATTTATTTTTTTCTCACTCTCTCTCTTTTCACTTTACACGCACCCCACATACGTGATAATATCATTAACAATAATAAAGATATATAAAACCTTTCGGATTATGAATAAAATTATTGGTCAATTCACATTGTATAGATATTTATTATTAATGGTTGAATCAGTATCAAGTTATATTCCATTAGATTTTTTTATATTATTAAGGCAAACGATTAACAAGTATTCTTTTTTTTCATTTTATGGACATTATATTATAAATATCAACATCACATTATTATAATTCTTTTTTTTATTATTACGGATATTTCTTTTAAATTTTTTATTTCTAATAATAATAAATTTATATATATATATATATACATTTTATTTTATTTTTAACGGTGATCTTAAATGATTAGATTAGATTTATCCATGGGACCGATTAAACGATTAGTATGATATATATTTTGCTAGATATTATTATCATATTAGTTTAAAAAGTTGAATATTTATTTTTAAATTTATTTTTTTATCATATATATATATATAACTTTTGCTATCAAGTATAATTTTGATTATTTTTAATCATGAATGAATATTGATCGTATTTTTTTTTCTTTCCATTATCTGTATTTTAGAATGCTCCAAATATTTTAGACTATCTTGAATAAATATTTTATATATCTGATTTTGGTTAAAACAAAAATTAAATAGTGATTCAACATAATGCATATATATAATTTTTTTAGCCAGTAAATTAACATTAATATTACGTTTTTTCCTACGAATCATACCATCGTACAAATCTTTGATCATTTTCTTTTTTTCCTCTTTAGTATTTACTGATTAAATACTTTCAATAAATCATGTGGTATTGGTTATCTTTTTACAATTTCTTTGGCCCTTTCTACACTTATTATGCCTTTGGTTGTCATTAAAAATTTAGAAAGATCTCCTTTTATTAAGTTCTGAATATGATGCATATCTGACATGATGAGTATTATTTGTATAATTAGTATCCAATTGTTGCTTCAAAGCTAAAAATGTTGAACATTACATATAAACAGTTTTTTTTTTTTTTTGTTAAAATTTTTATTTTTTATTTATTAATTTTTACAGGTTTAATTACCTCATATAAAATTTTAATATACTAGTCACTATTCAATATTTTGATCAATTGAAGAAGCACGTTTCAAGAAAAATCCATTTAATATTTGAGCAAATGACAATATACTTAATATTTTCAATTTCAAGTTTTAAAGCACCTTCTAAATCATCAACTAGATTATGACCAGATTTAGAAAGATGAAACTTTTAATTGAATAATTTTATAATTAGTAAATATACAAAAATACAAAAAAATAATGTTTTTATTTTGTAACCTTTTGTTCTCCAAGTCTTCCATCTTTGATACTTTCTATCAAATTATCCAATCTTTTTCTTTCAATAACATAATCTAATCATTTTGTGTGGTCGATCCATATCCTTTAGCCATCCATATAACATCGCCAAGTTCTAAACTTCTAACAGATAATTGATTCATAATTATTAATACATCTTTTATATAATCTTGATCTTCTACCAATTTGATTTCACGTGTATCTAAAACAATAATTACCAGGCGCCAATTCAATAGGTTTAGAATTAGTGATTGAATTAAAAGAACTTTCCATATCCATTGGGTAGTTAGGATTAGTGCAATAACTATCAATTTCTAGTATATCAAATCCACAAGTATCCTCAAAATCATTATTTAACAAATTCTTATTACTATCATTATTACTATTGGACGAATCTGATTCTAATGTATGTAATCAAAAGTATCTTCAATTTCGATAATCTCTGGCTGTTCAAAAGCTAGCTCTTCCATGTCATTGGACAATTAGAATTAGAATAACTATAAGTTCTAGTATATCAAATTCATTATTTAATAAACCACCATTATAATTATTGTTAGACAATTCTGTTTCTAATGTGAAAACAAGTTTTATAATCAAAATATCTTCAATTTCAATAATAATCTCTAGTTGTTTTCCCTTTTCAATACTAGGCGTACTTCTTTTTTTATCTCTATAACATCACCATCACCACCACCACTACTGTATATTATTTCCTCAACTTTTTTTTTCCTCTTTTTTTTTTTTTTTTTGAACCTGATAATTAATTAACTGTGTTTTTTTAAAGTCTTATCATATCTTTACGCAATGTGAGTTTGACATGTCAATATCTGTTAAAGAAATCTTGAGAAACAACCACCGCCGCTTTTATACACAATTTTTTCCTGATGTTTATGTTTGATTGGTAGATCAAAAGGACGAGTCACAATATTGTTGAGCTTCTTTTATCAAATATCCGTTGTATAATGCTATCATTATTGCATAGGCACCAGTTCGATATCTTGGAACATATCTTGGAACATAAGATGATGATGACGATATTGTAAAATTATACTCAAATTGGGGCATGCCGTACAAAAGAATTACAGGGGTCAAAAATTGTTTAACATCAAATTATTGGTTTTGCTCTGCTTAATTTCAATAAAGCTAAACTAATTTACGTCAAATCAATCTATTGCGAAACCCAAGAACTACGGCACAGTCACAGTATTCTCAAGATGAAATAATTAGAGAAGAATGAAAAGAAATTAAGAGCGAATATGGAAAGAGCTTGAAAGAGAAAAGAAAGGTCTTAAGAGTGAGTAATTGGGGTAAAGAATAAGCCAATACATCGTATTCCTTAAGAGAAGCTCGGTTTTTTTCCAGCAAAGAAATGATAAACATTCTATTTTTTTGAATTTAAAGTTGATGGAACTTGTTTTCCCAAAATCATTTGCTCGCCCGGAAAAAGAACAATTTGTCATCACCATTGTCTTCAACAAAATTTACATCAGGAATTCTTATAAACTCTTGTTCATTTATTCCATTCATGATATAATAATACTTGATTCAACAACAGAATGATGAGGCTTGAAAAAAACCAATCATTTTTTTTTCCTGTAAAATAAAAATGAAAATAAATATTTTTAGGAAATAGATGTATTATAAATGGTAGTAAACTTTTAATCAAATCGTGGAATAGATCTTTGAAGCAAGAAGGGTAAAATATTATATGTCTCGCTTTAGCTGTTCAAATATATAGATTTCCTCCTGGTTCTAATTTTCCCAACCTTTGCATCTAAACATAAGAAATAAAGTGCGGCATTTTTAGCATAGATAGATGATCAATTTATGTCATGTGATTTTATTTCAGAACTAGTTACCTACTAGTACTAGTACTAGTTATTTAACCGACAGTTCAAAGTTAAACAACGCTGCAAATCGATAGACATGTGTGTTTAATGTGTAAACTAATATAACCTTCGCAGAATCTATCAGAGCATTCACAAAAAAAAATTTAATATGCACCCACTCTCTTAAAATTAGGAGTATCCCAACGTTACTGTGTTCTTTTTCTTTTTCAGGACAAAAGAAAAAAATGGTTATGATTTTTTTTACATATTAAAATCTCCCATTTTCTATTTGGAGAAAATAAATAAAAATCCATTGATTAAAAGATTTCATCTGCAAATAATTCTCAGGATAAGGAATCTTCTTTATATTTATATTAATGTTCGTATTAAAAATCATCAATTTTCCCATTAGAGAAAACAAATAAAAATTCAACTGATCTAACCGCAAAAAAATAATTCAACGAATCATTCCGTTTTTTTTAATGGTGGTGGCAAAGATCAAGATCAAGAATCTTTCTTTATCTTAATCTTTTTGCTACTTATTACCCAACGATAATCTTCGTTTCTTTTTTGTCATCAAGCCAATCAGACATTTGCGCTGAATCGTTAGATAGAGATTCATTAGACAGATAAAAATTTTGGATTGCAGCATATAAACCTTTACTGTAAATAGGTTAAATTTTCATTGTGTAGCAGCTCCAAATTTGCAGTGTAGAGTCATAAATCCTACATCTCTAAGCATTTCAGCAGTAAATTTCTTCTTCTCAAAAAAAAAACAGTAACAAGGTCTAATTCATGATTGTGATCATTAATTATTTTGTTGATAAAAATACGTGAACAAGAATTATTTGCCTTTGGACATGATAATGCATTTACTAAGAAAGGGTAATTGGTCTTTTTTGGAACTTGTATCCTTCGTAGATGTTGAACTATAATTATCCCGTGTTCACATAAATATATACACTTTTTAACAACTCCCTTTACCTGATGAACTTTATCCTTTATAATTCGACCCTTTTTTTTGCCCACTCTTTTAGAAATGCATGATTAATCCATTTAGCTTGCAGATTAATCCATTGGCATCCCAAATTAATCTATCGGTCAATCCATGAAAAACATGGAACAATAATCTGGGTGGAAACGGAATTTTGTCCATAGTGATTATAATAGAACGCCAACTATATATTCCATCTTTAGAAAGTGGTACAAATTCATTGAAAAAAAAATTTATCAAGTCGTTTAAAGAAAAGAAAAATGAAAAAATTATTAGCGATTGAAAGAAAAGTATATGAAATTATTCCAGAAACTGGTAGTTATCAAGTGTATGATGATGGAGATTGGTCTTCAACAGCAACTGGTACAATAATACCCTCAACCAATAAAGTTTATGTGACCACGACTTTTAATAATCTTTGGGAACTTTCATTGACAGATCATAGCACAAGAAAAATTAGTTGGGATGGTTGGGGAACATGTAATGCACTAGTTCCAGTTCCAACAACCGATGATGATAGTAATTCAAACACTAAATATAATCTATTTGCATTTTGTCATAAACTATGGCTAATTGATGATCTAAACACAGGACATTGTGTAGACTTTTTAGGTGGATACACAAATGTGTGGACAAGAGTTAATGCTGCCACAGCTATTGATGATAAGATTTATTGCACCACTTCAGCAAATAATTTATGGTGTATTGATACATCACCATCAAAAGAAGACCCTAAAAAATTAGGCGGTGGAAGTGATAATTGGTCGGTTTGTAAATCATTGATTAATGTCAATGGCATGTTATTGGCATTTTGTTATTGGCTGTGGAAAGTTGATAAAGATGATGGAACATGTAAACCTTTTTTTGATGATGATGACGAAAATTCCAAGAGAAATTGGCTAAGCTTTAAATGCGCTACCGTTATTGATAATAATGTTTATATTGTTCTTGGTAGCCAATTACTGGAGTTAGATACTGTTACTAAAAAAATTAGAGAAGTGAGTAATGAAAATTGGAGTAAGACTAAAGCATTAATTGCTGTTAATATTTGATGTATTATTTATATTATATATTTATTTATATTATTTATTATTTATATATATTTTTATGTAATTAGATAGATATCTTTTTTTTTTGTAAAAAGATAATTTGACACTTTAATTACCTCAAATATAAAAACTATGATGTAATCTGCATAATTAAAATTTTTTTGCTATTCCAATCCATTCTTTCTGCTATTTCTCCAGATCTAACCGCCTTATCAATAATTCTAATTGATTATTCTCTTTGGAGCTCTGCAAAAAAATATCATCTGAATCTTCATATCTAGAAGCATTTTAATCATCATCTTCCTTTTCTTCATTGTCATTGTTGTATATATGCGAAATCGAAATTGAAATCTATAATTAAAATTTTGGGGATTGCAAATTCACATAAATTTCATTTTCACGCACAACATCATCACCGCCATTCTCATACTTGAATTTTCGGTGATGAATGATTTTAATGAAACACATCTACCTACGTCTTCCATTTTTCCATTTTCTACATTTTCATCGGTTCCATCTTGGTTGTTCTTTTTACTATTGTATCATCGTTTAGTAGAGCGGTCACTAAATCCAAATGTCTTTAATTTGTGACTTTGGCATTAGAAACCAATATTAAATATAATACATAACTATGCGCGCATATTTATTTATATTAGTAAACTTGCGAATAATTTAACAATATTGCTAAATGAACCTGATTTATATGATGTAGAATTAGAATTGGAGTGGACCATAATGTGAAAACTTTAAAGCTCATCCTACCATTTTAAAAGTAAGGTCTTTGTATTTTAAAACTGTTTTATCAAATATTTATTTATTTGAAAAAGAAAATATTTCCCCAAATGCATTCAAGGTTATTTTAACCTAAGTGATCAAAAATCTGTAAATATTCATAATAATGTAATATTTGGACATTTATTTCTGCTTATACTTGCAATTGGACGCGTCAACAAAATTTTACGTATATGAATATAAAGGCAAAATTTGACTTTGAGGGTCAGATTATTTTCGGTTTTATTAACAACCTGCCTTAAAATTTTTCTTAAAGCAGACACATGATAAAGAAGCTATATCTCAAATTTGGTGGTGATTGCTACACAACAAGGCAGCAAGGGTATCAAACAAGGGTGTGAAGACATTCAATTATAAAAATTTTACTATGATGCAGATCATCCAAATTTTATTACCTAATAGTAAATTGAGGTCCAATTGTTGCATTTTATATCATGACAACATCAATGATGCATTTTGGCATTTAACATTAGTAATTAATATTAGTCATTCATTATTAATCACTCTTTTTATTGGACAAAATCATGTAAAAAGTCATGTTGTTTGTAATACTTCAAGAAGTATAAATACACTTAAAAATTTCCTTCATTTTTTAATAATATACATTTGATAATTTGATAATAAAAACTGTAATTAATTAATAAATCTGGTGGGGTTGATTCATAATCCTTCCTGATGATTAATGGTTTGGCCAGCCTTTAACTATTAGTTAGGAACCCTTGCAATTTTACATAGTGATGCCTCAAGTAGTATATTTCTATTTTTTTTTTGAGAGCATATGAAGCTGGAAAGAAAATAGAGACACTTGACCAGAACTCACCTGCAATAATAGTACAAGTACAGCTGTAAAGAAAACCTTGCCCTTGACCAGAATTAAGATTGAGTTTTGTGTATAATGAATAATTTGAATAAGAATTTGCATTACAAATTTACAACTAGAAACTAGCTGAACTTTGAATTTTATTTATTGCAAGATATTATTACAATATTCAAATTAAATGTCAGTACATCAGGAAATTTTTCCTGGCATGGATTTATGTAATTATATTATGCAAAAATCATACAAAAATCATGCAATTATTACATTGAATGTAAATATTACATAATTTTTTATGCAAATATTACAACTTTACATATTAAAATTTATGGACATTATATTACAGTGGGGAAAATTTCCTGATGTATCCTACTAACAAAAGTCCTTTGGCAACAAGCACTTAATAGGAAAAAATATGACTTTAGTTTTGCATAAAGTAGTAATATGCACCCACTGATCATTACTAATTATTTTTGTTGATACAACAAAAAATTGAACAAGATACAATGGTAAAAATTCAATACAAATAATAATGGTAAAAAATTATTTAATAAAAAATAAAAATTAGATTCTCATAAATTAAT